GCGCTGACTCGGCCCCTCCGCGCCCGGCTCCCGGGAACCGGCGTCCTCCCCGCCGTGCTCCCTGCGGGCGCCCGGGATGCTGCGCGCAGGCTCCGCGGCAGTGTGGACGCCTCTCCCGGGGGACGGAAATCTCTCTGCAACAGTGCAGAGTGAGGAAGTTCATCCTGCCGGAGAACCAGAGCAGGGCGCTAAAACAGTTCCCGGTCCTGGCTTCTCAAAAGTCTCAGAGACTTCCCCCAGAACGTTTGAAGATGCCATTAAAATAACTCCACGAACGGTGGCTATGTAATACGAGACAGTCTTTTCTCAAGTACGTTTTAAGGTTTAAAAAATGCAGAATGGTGAAGGAATGTAGAATTTAGAAAGATAAAATGTAGGGTTCTTACCACTTTTCTTAAATTTTGTTACAATCGGTACTTCATTTTCAAAATTAGAAACACGTTTAACTTCATCAGTGTTAATTTTAGTTAGGAGGACATCTTGGGACTTGAAATTATTTCGTCAAAATGCCTTTAAGAGTACTATCCTAATCATGATGGAAAGAATTTTTCTTCTCATTTAAAAGTTTTTAATCTCTACAATGTACTTTATGTAGGATGTTAACTTTAATTGTAAAAATCAATATATGCCCATTGCAATAAACTTCAAAAAGTAGTAAAAAGGAAGTCACAGCTCTCTCCCCCGCTCTTTTAGCTAACCACAACCATTACTTTAAAATGTTCCCCTCTGTTGTTTTAATGTTTAGTATAAATGTGTATACACCTAATATGTGGGAAATACTTTGAAGAATGAGCCATGATTAAAATATAGTAGTCTCTGAATAGGCTGTGATGATGTAAGGGTGTTTTGCTTAAAACCCTATTTGTTACTGTCCCATAAAGCATTTCCACACCAAACCCATTTCTAAACCCAGCATTCAGGTTTCTTTTTTTAACTGCCAATTTAAATACAAATGAGCAAATATAAGGAAAAAAAGCATGTATAAGGCGATTCTAACTAAATACAGCGTTCTAGGCATCAGCAGTTCTTCATATCACAGCCATTTCTCAAGCCATGGCTTCCATTTTAGGAGTCAACTTTGTACAAGGAAGACATGATCTAGGATATTGTTACAGTGTCGCTACACTGGATAGTTCCAAACCAGCTATTCCCAGAAACCAAATGGGATCCTTTTACAACAATGGTATCACTCATGTCAGGAAGACACCTACCTCTAGAACACTTCAAAACCAGGGCACCATTATTTTAGGATATTTTAAGCTGAGTCATTCCAAAGCTGCAAAGGAATCTTTCAAAAAGGTGCCATTCCTGTAGACTCCATCTAGAGGCTGTGTGGAGTAAGGAAATGGAGTTGACTTATTTTGCAAAAGCTCTTTTCTAGGTTCTATACTTTTGTTGTACTGTGATTTTTTTTTTAAGTGCTTGATCAAAGTACAAAATACATAGAAGGGAATTTTGAGTTTATAATTTGTATCTACCCTCAATCCACCGATTAGCCACTATTTATTATACTTGTCAATTGTCTTGAAATATTTTAACTTTATTATAAAAGCTGCCTTGCAGCTTTGCTTTAGAAGAAGCCTTAAGTAGTATTGCTCTAAAGATAACATGGTTATTTCTTTTTTAGGACTTACGTCTAAGAGTAGAGCACATTAAAAAGTAGGATGAAAAGGCCATTAGCTGCCAAGCCTTACTCCCTGAGGTCAGTCACCAGAATCCACTTGGTAGAGATAACTGACTCCAACCAGTTATCCTCTGACCTCCATCCACATCAATGCCCATATGCTTACATAAACAACAGATGCATAATTTTTAAGGGATTTAAGTAGGGGCTTTATCTTGCCCAATCACTAGGTCTATACAAGTTTTATTGGCCTGCCTGCCATTTCTAGGGTTTAATATTTTCACCAGAACTGAGCCTGTAACTTTATTCTTTGGAAGTCCAGGCCTCTTCTGATTACAAAGGCTTCATACTTTGTACTAGACCACAGATCTTCCCAACAGTGCAGTTTTTTCCTTGGTCACATCCTTCCCATTACACATGGAGATACTTTCTGCCTGGGATGACCATAATCAAATGGAAAAGTTCACTTTCTAAATACGTGAATAAATTCCAGCTAGTAACTTGTAGTACCACAGGCCTTAACTTCCTGAAATACAGAGGACTAGGAAAGGAAAAGCGGGTTTATAAACAAACTAAAGCATGCCATACCATTAAGACCCAGTGTGCGCCAGTTCTTTGAGTTACAGCTTGTGCTTACTGAGACTGGATTACCTAGCTCATCTGTCTTTACCCACCTTCTGTGTTCTTTGATTCCATTATATCAAAACTAGAAAGAGCAAAATTTACCCAGCTTTTATTTTTTATCTTTTTAAACCTAAGGCTTTTGAGTAGCAGCGATTCAATTTGAATTCTAATTCTGATTTGTAAGCTGTGTGAATTTTTAGTAGATAACTTAGCTCTCCAAGTCTCAGCTTACTTGTTTATATAACACACAGTATGTATGTACTTGAATAATTATATCTGTATGATAAAGCATTTGTATAAGTAACAAAGCCCATTCACCTTAGGTAACTCAGTAGCTTTTCATTTATCTTCCTTCTTAAATGTTTCTTCATTTGGCTTTTGGATCACTTCCTTCATCAGCCACTAGCTTCCTAAACTACTTTATTGATTCTTCATCTTCCTGACCTGTCAGCTTTGGAGAGTCCGAAGGCTCAATCCCTAAGAATCCCATTCATGTATTATTGCCAATTTTCAGTTTTTTAAGATCTGACCTATGTTGTGTCTGATAGACATTTCAAACATATATAAAACTAACTATGATTATTTTCTTTTTTACATCTGAAATGAAAAAAAGTGGTAACTGCTGCTTCCATTGCCAAACTTTACCTAGGATGTAATGGTTTACATAACTCTGATGACCACCATAACGGATCCACAGCACCATTATTTCTGTCCTCGGTTGCTGAAACAGTCTCTTGTTCCCTTGCCCTCATCCAGTCTACACAGCACAGCAGTTAAAATGATCCTTTAACATGAAAGGTGATCTGTGTCACTTCTCTGCTCAAAACCTTTAGGGGCTGGGGCTATGGCTCAGTGGTAAAGTGGTTGCCTAGAATTCGGAAAGCTCTGGGATTAACTGATCTATGGCACAAGAAAACTTGTGGTTTTCTATGTCGCTAAGTGTAAAGCCAGAGATCTTAATGATGGGCATCAAACCTTCCATGATCTGGCTGGGTTGCTCCCCACCCCAACCTTAGGATTGGATGCCTTCTCTCTGTTCCGAAATCCCCGCCTATTGGCTTATCCCTGAACACACTGAGCAGGTTCTTTGTGTTTGTCACTGTGTTTACTGTTCTTTGTGATCAGATAATTTTATTGTCTTTTCCTAGATCCATCAACAGATAAGGGTCTTAATGAGATGCCAGATGCAGGATAAAATAAAAGCTGAAAATCCAAATAGCTTTAGTTCTGCGGTAAAGCCATGACATAATAGGTCCTCAAAAAGTAACTGTTGACCTTTAAAACATTACAAATAATAAGGAAGTTGAAATTTAAAAAGTTTCAGTTTGCAATATAGTACGAATACAAAGAAATACCAATACTCTTACAAATTTAAGGAATACCTATATAATTACACACACACAAAAGGCTTTGTTAACATTCTCCAGAGTGAACCAGGGAAACAAAACTTAAGAGTGCTTAGTGTAGTCTCACTGTAAGGAAGCCAAACATGGACCACACCTGCTCAGCATCGTAGGAGAGACCTGTCATCTTCATCCTACGTTTGAAGAGCAGATTCCTTCAAAAAGAAATAGTTTTACTCCTTTCTGGTCTCCATAGAGACTTTTCTTAAAAGGTGCTTAATGAACTCTAGCTGCAATTACAAGGCAAGTCTTAGACTATGCTTGAGTGTTTCGTGTCCCTGTCCCTGCTGTAGGAAGAGGGTTAGGCTCTCGGGTTCCTCTTCTGGTTTTAAGACTGGATGGCAGAAAGGAGTAACAGGAGCAGACAGCCCCACTGTATCCTTTAGCTACAGTTGGTATAGTGGTAATATGCATCAATGGTAAGTCCAAGTTATTACAAACATTATCAGTTATTTGGTTAGCTAGCAAGAGTAAGGAGATGACAGATTGACAAATTTATGTCAGCTGATGAGCTGAAGACCTTTACTGCTGAACCACAAGGAAGGTTTGCTAATGATTTTCCGCCAGATTCTATGCGGATTTCTCTTTCATGGGGCAACTTCTCCAGTGGTGAGGCTAATTCCTCAGTGGTGAAGCTGAAAATGGCACCCAAAAAGAGACCGAGGGATTTCACAATAAATCACCCAAGCAATGGGATTTAATGTGTTCCAGATGTTCTTTACTAATAGAGGTCTCTGAGTACTGTACTGTACTTAGGGCAAACTTTTAGTGTTTCCACAATTTCTGTTCATGTTTTATTTGTGAGGATCCCTCTTCAGTGACCAGTGCTTCATGAACGATTTGGAGAGGTTATTGGAATAGCATATGAATTCTGGTAAGAAATTAATAATGAACATTTCCATAGCTTTCTGGATAAGGAAGACTTTATCATCTGTTAATATAATTACTGGTACGAAGTAATGTTTTTGGTTTTTAATCCTAGACTTGGAGTGGAAAATTATCTATGTGGGCTCTGCAGAAAGTGAAGAATACGATCAAGTCTTAGACTCTGTTTTAGTGGGTCCCGTTCCTGCAGGAAGGCATATGTTTGTTTTTCAGGTAAGATGATTTTAATAGACTGAATTATCTCTGTGCTCTTATCCTTTTTGTGTTAGGCAATTTTACTTCATCCACTCCCGCTATTAGTTTGCTCTGTCGTTTCAGGCACTTTCTGTCATGAAGCAGTTCTGTACTTGAATCTGTGCGCAGAGATATTAATGTCTTTACTTTTGGGAGCTAGACAGCCGAACCAGTACACCAGAAACTGTATCACAGCACACAAGGTTGATTTTCATTTTGTCCTGTGGAACAGTTCTTCAGGATGAAAGCATCCCAATGTGTATTCAAATGGTGTGCTGCTTAGTAGGATGCATCTTCTGATGTAATTTCAACAACCTCATTTTGGCACAGTCAGTAACTGAAGGCTAAGAAATGTTAGCAGATGGAGATGTGTATCTTGAGCCATTGGGATTGAAGTCTGGTTCTTCACTGAAGCTCCTAATCTCTGTTTTTCTAGAGGACTGCTGTGACACATCCTACCCCGTTAGAACTTGAAAGTAGGAATTCTGTTAGTATAAGTCATGTTCTCAGCTACCACTGACAGTTTTTAAGTTTGTGCCCAAGCTTGAGACATTGTCTTTTGCATAAATGTTATTTCTCCTACTTTATATTAAATAGCTATATAAAACTAGTGACTTTTTTCAATTATCCATGCTTCTTAGAGGGAGCTATTTATAATACTGCAAGGAGTAATGAACTAGCTTTTAAATAACTATTAGTTTTTGTTAAAAGTATTTCTGCCTAACTGAGTCTCACTGTAGGCAGAATCCAGGAGAAAGATCTACTTCCTATCCTTGACCTCCATTTCTCCCTTCACAGACAGGAATTCAATGAATACTTGCTTTAAAGAACTCCATTAGAAATGGGCGAGGAGTTGCTTAAGAGCACACCTAAGAACTGAGGAGCAGGGACTGTTTACTATTAGCAAACCCCAAATAACTTAGTGTGTATAAACAAATGGCAAAGAAAGGCTCAACAACAGTAGTTTAAAGGCTGTAATACTTTAATTAAAAGTGCCATTAAATTGAGTTGTATGTGTGCATAACCTTGTGAAAGCCATAGCAACACAGAGCGCCCAAGGAAGCACTGCAGTTGCAGGCAGGCAGACCTGATGCTTCTACTTAGAAAAACAATGTGACACCACTAATGACCTGCCTCATAAGAATATTAGAAGGAATAAGGCAATTAGCAAATTATTGACAAAACTAGCTACATCGGTAATTAACTTAAAACTATTATCTTATTATATAAAGTGGCAGGATTTGTTTGGACCATAATCCTGGGTACTACATACTGTACTGATAATTCATGATGTAGCTCGGTTTAATTTGTAGTCATATATATTCTTTGTATTGCTGGTTTTGGGGTGAGCCTCTGGGAGTCTTTTGTGTTTATGTTAAGAATACCTCTAAGCTTTTGGCTTGCCACAGTGCTGTGAGGGGAATCTCACAGCAGTATGTAGCTTTTGTTGGAATCAGTGTAAATGTTGCCAAAAAGAACAGAAAGCTCTGTGATTTAGGTCATGTGTTATCCTATTCAATTTTTAAAGTCTGTTTTAAAGTCTGACAATTATTAATGAAAAGAAATTAAGGTACACTTTTTGTTTTGTGTTATGAACAAACTGTGCTATCTTCCTGGTCTGCTGTTTTCTTACAAGTGGTCTTAAGACTAGCAAGGAGATGTCCAGACATCTGTCTAGTCTTGAGGATTGGGTCAACAAGAGTGGTCTTCAAAACTTTTCCACACTTAATAATGTGAGAGGCACACACATTTCTTGACCCAAATTTGCGCAAGCTGAATCCTCTGGCAACCATGTTTTTAAACACAGACACAGCTACAACTAATTTGCTGGGTGGTAGGAACATTACTGAACTCTTTCCCATAGTCACCCTTTGCCAGGTATATAAGAATCCCATTGGATACCCCAAAAGTAACCCCAAGATGCTTAGAATTTGTAGAACAAAGGGTATTTTTTTTTTTTACAGGAGAGGATTTGTATTGCCACCCTTGGTGTCGGTCCAAAGGGGATCATAAAGCCTATTGGGATGGGAACTGAGTAATGAGAAAATAATATTCTAAAATAATAAATTCTTACAGCTGCATTTATATTGTTAAGACATATTAGGAGATTTGTGTCAAGTAACATAAACACATAAATGGGGAAGCTGCCACCTTCTGAATCAGAAAGAACTTTGCTTAAAAAATAGGTTTGATGAAGATATCAGGAAATAAATTTGGGGGATGTAGGGGAGGAAACTTTATAGCCAAGGGTACTGTTTGAGGCAGAGGCACATCTTACAGAGACGGTTAGAAAGCTTAGCGGTATTCTGCATAAGAGATGAAGACGAATACCCAGCTTTTAGTCTTGAGATGCTGAGAGTGACAAGGTAAGAGAATAAGAGAAGCTGAAGGGAACTGAGATTTTTAGTTTCCATGAGTTTTTATGGCTTTTAGTGCTGGCTAAATGTTATATATATATATATATATATATATATATATATAGTCTTAAAAAAGTCTCCAAGCTGAAGTATTTACAGAAGAGTTCATATGCAAAGGATGTTCTCTGGTGCTGGAAACAGTAAACTCTTAGGCTAGCGTTTCATTTGTTTACCACACAGAATGGTTTTTACTCGGATGCCTCTACCATCACTATGTCTTACTAGTTGGTTCTTTTCGAGTCAGTCTCAGCCGTCTTGCTCATTGCCATCGACGTGGTCCCAGTTTTTCCTGGTATTTTTAGTGTCTTCTAGTTCTATTGTTTCAGTTTCTCTATTTCTCAAGGTTTACCATGATTTAAAATGTGGTCTTTGGTATCATCTGCCTAAAGTCTTTGCCTGCACTGAATTTCCAGTGTGTGTGACTCAAGCAACATACTATATTTAGTGCCCCAAAACATGACTGTTTACAAATGATTTTCATTTTTTCAAAATTGCTCTATAGTTTTTAAGATCAGTGTCAGGTTTTTTCAGTATATATTTACTCCTTATTTAATTGTGCTGGGGTTGAATAAAATTGTCAGTTTCATACAGTTTACTACTGACGTATTTGCAGACGGTGACTGACTAGGTATAAAGAACCTAGGTCTCTGATAGAAGATGGAAACTGATAGAATATACATTTATTGGAATAAGTTCTGTGAAACTAATTTAATACATAGTAACTTGGAATTGAAAATTAGAGCTGCAACAGGTTAGGATCACTACAATGGTTGACTTGATTATAAACAATGATTTTATAATCAATATTAGGTAATTAATCACCATAGAGTAAAACCAGAATTATTTCTTTAGCTATAGGTGTGCCTGCAAAGTACTGAGGGTACCCAGGACTAAAACACAGAAGTGGGAACCTTCTGTTCTAGGTATAAGCCAATTCCCTCCAAAGAACATTTGGTGGGTAAGGTGGTGGTGGTGCTATTCACCTGAAATTCTAGCAGTCAGGAGGCAGAGTGAAAGAATTACATAAATTTGAGGCCAGCCTGGGTTGAACAGAGAGTAAGAGTCCAGCCAGGGCTATGTAGCAAGCAGGACTTGCCCCTAAAAGCCAAAAATAAATAAATTAATTAATTAATAAAAAAGATTTTCCCCACTAATGTGATTTCAAGTAGTGTAAAGTAATTGAAACTCACTCACTGTACCTGCTACTAACAGCCCTTTGTGTTTTTCTTTTAAAATTATTCTAGGCTGATGCACCGAATCCAGGACTCATTCCAGATGCAGATGCAGTGGGGGTAACAGTTGTGCTAATTACCTGTACCTATCGAGGTCAAGAATTTATTAGAGTTGGCTACTATGTAAATAATGAATATACTGAAACAGAATTAAGGGAAAATCCACCAGTAAAACCAGATTTTTCTAAGGTAATTTTTCTTACTATTCCTTTTAATTATTGTACTATCCAATTTTTAGGGGATTGTTATTTGATTCTACACTATGAACGCGGTCGTAAAGCAAATCTGAAGTGTTGTAGCACTTGAACAAACTAATCATTGTTCCATTTTCATGGATGACCTCAGTCCTGCCTCTCTAAGAATTAATGTTAGGTGGGTACCTTGAGTCAACACTGAGGACATATACTGTCCTATTTTTGTAGCGAAGTGATTAAATATATTTTTGCCCATAATGCTTACTAAAATTGTGGCAAAAAGGTTAATGTGATTTTGTTACTCATTTCTTTTGTGATGGTTTTGAGACAGGATTTTCTGCTGTAACCCAAGTTGGCCTTGAACTATGGCATTCTTCCTTATTCAGGTATCCAGGTTTTAGGATTTTGATGGTGACAACTTAAATTCTGAGACATCAAAATTTGATTCAGTAGTCTTAAAAACACTTAGTATCTTAAATTTTTCCCACTGGGAACAGTTAACGGGTTTAGTTACTGGTGATTTTGTTTGTTTGTTTGTTTGTTTGTTTGTTTTTAACAAAATAAACTGACTATGGTACTCTATGTGGCAGACTTGCCACAAACTAGAGAAGGTTTTGCTTTCTGCTGGAGGGTTGGGATGCCTTCCACAATTTGGAGTCATTCTGTTAAGCCAGGGTTATTCCTGATAGAACCTTTGTATAGAAGTAAAAAAACAAAACAAAAATAGTAATAAAAATCCCCTAAAATACTGTCTCTGAAAATGCATTTTAATATATTACAGTTAAGATCCCAGTAATTACAGAAGTTCTATTTGAGGAAAACTGTTCAAGTCTTTGTGTTTTGTGTTTTATTTCTTGGTGCTTAGGGGATTGAATCTACAGACTTAGCCAGAATACTTCTTTGCACTGAGCTATATTCCTAGCCTGAAAACACATTAGGCTAAAGACATAATTTAACTAAAAACATTCTCTAAAGGGTGAGAAGTACCTTTCCCCCCTTAGCATTAGGAAGCAGAAGTATAGAAGCAAGACATTTTGTTGCAGGGATGAAAAGATCTAGATGCTGTATTAGTCCTTGGTTATTAGTTATGTTTAAGTGCTTCACTTTCTGATAGCATATTAATTTAGTCCTTTAAAAGGACTAACAGAACCACCCAGTTTGTATATGGTAATCTAACTTTTCTGGTGCTCACCATTTAACTGTTTTTCTTTCCAGCTTCAAAGAAATATTTTGGCATCTAATCCCAGAGTCACAAGATTCCACATTAACTGGGAAGATAACACAGAAAAACTGGAAGATGCAGAGAGCAGTAACCCAAATCTACAGTCACTTCTTTCAACAGATGCATTACCTTCAGCATCAAAGGGATGGTCCACGTCAGAAAACTCACTGAATGTCATGTTAGAATCCCACATGGACTGCATGTGATAACATGCCATCCCATTAGTACAGATTAAGCTATTAAAAACAGAACTATTTCCCTGAAGTTCCGTAAGTACATAGTCAAGGTGAAATGTGAAGAATCTGTTTAAAAACATCCTGTAGAAAGTTTATAAGAAAACCAGTATTTGAGCAAATTGTGGAATATAAATACAACTATTTTTAAGTACTTTTTTTCTCTAATGTGTTATTTTATTTGTTCTTGAAACTAATCTGGTTAAAGTATATATATATTATTTTCTTCTCCTTTATATGTAATTAAAGCATTTATAAAAAGAAGAGTTATCAATTATTAGACCAGGTTGTGAAGGTGTTTTAGCCTCTTGGACAATAATACTTTTTACTAGCCTTTAAAAGAACAAAGTTTACTTCAACTAAAATGATTTCCTTTGAAGACAGCGTCCTTTTAATTTAAGGAGCAAATTTCCATTCTGTAGTGAAAACGCTATCTTTAAAAAGGGAATTTGAAATCAACTACATGCCACCAAGGCTTTCCTAGGCCACCCCAGTGCATCTTGTGACAACCACCACAGCTTGTGTTAACACTGGACTTGTGGTTTTATGTAATAAATGCGGCTGCCTTTGAAGTCCCTCTGACTATGGTTTATGCTTCCCTACTTCTAGAACTGAGAGACCAAGATCACAAATCATTATTGTCCAGAGATTTCAACACGGCAAGAGCAAATGCAAGGTTTCTAAAGTGTAAGATTAGATTATATCTGGGTGGTGGTGGTGTACACCTTTAATCCCAGCACTTGGGAGGCAGAGGCAGAGGGATCTCTGTGAGTTCAAGGTCAGACTGGTCTACAGAGGTAGTTCCAGGACAGCTAGGAAGCTGTTACACAGAGAAATCCTGTCTCAAAAAGCCAAAAAAAAAAAAAAAAAAAAGATTATAATCAGATCTGCTATTCAGTTTACAGAAACTCTGAACTTGGGTTGTTGGCAGTGTTGCTATAAGAAAGGTAATTTAGAAAGGTCTACTTTGCTTTATCCTAATAAGCTGGCTAGTTTTGTTCACAACTACAATACCCCATATCATCTGCTTCCCATTAAAGTGATAAGATCAGGGCATATCTGTAGTTGACATGTTCTAGACAGCTTTTCCAGACAATTTTTTTGAAGAGCAATTTTAGAAAGGAATTTACCAAACAAATGGGCCAAAAGTGTATTTTCTTTAATGAAAAATAGGTACTTCAAGGATTTGCTCAATTAAATTTACAGTAGAATATTTTCTTTTGACCCCTGCTGATGGTAAGCAGGACAGCCATAAGATGCAGTTATGCAGTGCCTTCACATCTAAGCTTTTATACTGCGCTTTTAAAAGCATTTTAAGGAAAGGAAAGGCATTTTTTTTTAAGAAAGGCATGTGTATTTTAGAATATGAATTTGTGAAACAAAGTCTTGTTAAATGTTAAAACTTTGAAATTCAATACTACAAATTATTACAATACTGTTCATATCCCAGTTCACAGCTTTTAAAAATAAAATACTTCTGACTATTAAAAGTATTTGAAAAGAAAATTCTCATTTTTGTCTAACTACAATTAGGAGAAAATGTTAAAACAAGAGTTAAGTGATCAATACCGTAGGTATAAGTTTGTTAGAAATAAAAAGTAAAAACTAAAATCACCAAGTAAAGCAATTTGCTAGAGTGTTTATCTGATTATAAATACCACTTTGCAATATATGTTCAGGTTTTTATGTCAATTTTAAAATGTATAGCTCACTGTCATAAGTTTGAGACATAAAACTATTGCCTTTTATAATTTTAAATGCTACTACTCTGTAGAATTTAAAGTTAAAAACAAATGAATAATAATAGAATTATTTAAATTAAGAATTAAGAAATTAGCATGCATGGATTTCCCTCCTGTTTAGCCTTGTTTATAGACATTATGTCTGAATTATAGCTAAAAAGCTTAGATACCATCCCCAGACCCCCCTTTTTATCTATTTATTTTTTGGGGGGGATAGCATCTCTCTATATAGCTTTAGGTGTCTTGAACCTATTAAGTAGGTCAGGCTGGCCTTCAACTCACAGAGATCTGCCTGCCTCTACCTCTGAAGTATTAGGATTAAAGACATATGCCACAACGCCCTGCACCATTTCCTCTTTTTTATCAGAGTAAATAAATGTCTGGGGAAAAGACAGACACACAGACAGACACATACACACACACACACACACACCCCTCTGCCCATTTATACCACTGAAGAGCCAGACACACACACACACACACACACACACACACACACACACACACACACACACAC